CAATTTGAGTGACAAATCGTAGTTAATCATGTTTTGTTGCTTTTCATCAACATGAATATTGAGTTCGTACCATTACTGTGAATATTCACATATCTTTTGTAAAAAACAGCCAATGTTGAAGAAGAAAACTTCAGAACAAAGGAAAAAGATTTTGAAAAATACTTTGCAAGAATCCCTCCCATGTCGATACATCCATGTCCTCATCCACAATTCCAATCATTGGACATTACTTGTTATTGACAAACACTTGGGGACTTGGAAACATTTCAACTCTTTGAGACCAAGAAAAGGAAAGGACAAGCGCTACAACGTTGCAAATCAACTGGTAAGAACAATTTCAGATTAGCATTACAATAATCAGATGTAAATCATTACATACTTTATGTTGATGTTTTTTACAGCAAAAAATCATCCATCAATACATGAAGGATACACCTTGTCAAGCAGAAAAAGCCTGGAATCCTGATGTTAAGATTGAATCAGTCAAAGACAGCCCTCAACAAGAAGCAATGATGTATGTTAATTTATTCTAACTAACAAATTTTAATATCTTTTTCAAAAAAAATTCTTTTTTGCCTAACTGTGTCAAAAATGATTTCTGTAGGAATGACTGTGAAATTATTGTTTGCTACATCATAAGACAATACATGAGGCATCAACCAATTCCAAACACATTATCACCAGGCACATCCACAAGACTCAGAGCAGACATGGTGCATGAGTTCCTCAGTGATTCACAAAGATCAATCAAAGTCAAGTAGAGTCAAGATGGCAACCTTCAATGAAAACTTTTTTGATGTGTAACTTAATGAACTCTTTTTTGTAACACTCTGATACAATGACTAATGTTTTTGTTAATAGTTCCAAGCATATTACCTAACAAACATATTACAATTTCTATGATGTGTAATGGAATATTTTATCATACTCTCAAAGATATATGCACCCGAGCTTTGTTGATGTTTTTGTCCATATTCTCAGTTTCTATTATCCTGTTCCTCACACTACTATATGGCAAAAACAAAAATAGTATTACATGTGAAAATGGTGGACACAAGACTTTACTGCATCATAATCAGTGCTTTTTTGATGTTTTTGTTTATATTTTCAGTTTTTATGCAGTGTTTTGTTGCCTCATAAAACACTGCTTAAAACTAAAATGGAGAATATTTTCAAACTTATTGTTGTTTCAATCACTTATTTTCAAACTTAGAAACTTAAAAACTGAGAATATTTTTAGTTTTATATAGATCACTCAATTTTCAAACAACAATATTACCACAACAATTTATTTGCTGCCTCACAATATTATGACAATTTGAAAAACTAAAATTCGAAATAAAGAATATTTTCACTTACAACCCACTGTTACTTTAATCAAAACATAAAGCATTGACCACATCTATTTAAAATATTAATTCACATTCATTCAATTCATCACATTTATAACTAGTTCCAATTTATAACAAGAGCCTCACATTATTATCACAAAATCAGCTATTTTGAACTAAAAACTTAAACTGAGAATATGTTCACTTTTTATACAGTATTCACATAATCTGCAAAACAAACATTCAACAGTCAAGTTTATTTTCGAAAGCCAACCAAACAATATCATCACAACCATTTATTTGCTGCCTCACAATATTATGACAATTTGAAAAACTAAAATTCGAAACAAAGAATATTTTCACTTACAGTCCACTGTTACTTTAATCAAAACATAAAGCATTGACCACATCTATTTAGAACATTAATTCACACTCATTCAATTCATCACATTTATAACTAGTTCCAATTCATAACAAGAGCCTCACACTATTATCACAAAATCAGCTATTTTGAATTAAAAACTTAAACTGAGAATATGTTCACTTTTTATACAACATTCAAATAATCTGCAAAACAAACATTCAACAGTCAAGTTATATTTCTGAAAGCCAACCAAACAATATCATCACAAACAATTTCAAAAATTAAAATTTGAAACTAAGAATATTTTCACTTTCAATTCAATGGCACTTTATTCAAAAACATAGAAGATTATTACTCAGTGCTCAACAGCACAAACTGCTATTTCAAGAAATTTATGAATACGAAATTTTTACAATTACAAAGTAACTACAAAAAATCACAAAGCCTCCTTACACGATTTCTTATTGTGATTGCCAACCTTCCCATATCTACTACAAGTAATTTGCCTCACTTTCTCACCATTTGAACAAATCCTCTTCTTATTTGGCCTTCCTGGTTGCTTCTTAGACAAAAGAGGAAGAACAACTTCACTATCACCATCAACATTACAATCTGGTTTCCAAATTGAAAGAACAGGATATATGGGAAAAGAATAGGACTCTCGATAACTTTGAACATAGAAGTATTGATCAACAAATAAACTCAAATCATGTCCACTCTTTTATATAGCACCAACTGCATGTGCACATGGAAACCCTTTCAACAGCCACTTGCCACAAGAACATATTCGTCTACTAATGTCAACTAAAATAGATGGATGTGAATGCACCTCATAGACATCATTTCCAGATGAACTAACAATCCATGGCCTCGAAGTATTAAAACCATCATGCAACTTGGACTCCATTTTAGGGCAAATCAAACCATTCCATTTATTAACAAGTTCCTTCCTCTTAGCAATTTTCCTCATCAACTTAATTCTTACATTATCAATCAACATTGTGATAGGCAAGTGGCATTCCTCTCGTATCCACGAATTGAAAGATTCAGTTACATTTGACCACATCTCTCCAAAGCGTTGCCCTCGAAAGTATGCATTACTCCAATGATCATATGGTATGTCATCTAAAAACTTTTCAACTCTTGACCCACCTTCAGTCTTTAACTCAACTAAACATTGATGAAATGCTTCTTCAGTTGGAGCATATGCACATTTCCCAAACAAAGTGATCAGCTTTTCTTTCAATCCATGAAACATACCACGCAAATGATGCCTCAAGTTCATCTTCAAATGATATAAACAATAAGCATAGAAAGCCATTGGGAAAACCTTTGGCAACACTTCAACTAATCCAAGGTTACGATCTGACACAAATGTAATATTTCGTTCTGGTGAAACAATTCTACTCAAATGCTCCAAAAACCAGCGCCAATTATCTTGATTCTCTGAGCCAACAACTGCAAAACAAACAGGAAAAAACCCTGCATGTACAAAATAGAAAAAATGAAAATATTATATTATTCTTAGAAAATGGTAACGCTCTAACATTCGAAATATCAAACACTAAAATGAATAACTGAAAAAATAAAAAATGCATATACGACAACAATATTATATAAAAACATTCAATCATATTTCTAAACTGAGAACTTTCTCAATTTCAGAACAGAGAAAGCAAGTTTCTTATGTACCTTGATTTCCATCTTTTCCTGTAGCAGCAAGTAAATTTTCTCTAAATTTTTCCTTAAAAAATGTGCCATCAAGGAATAAGAAAGGTCGACAATAATCAAATCCACTAATGGAACCATGAAAAGAAACAAATAATCTCTTAAACCGTTTAGTATCATCGTCACACTCAAACTCAATGTAACTCCCTAGATTGCAACTCTTTGCAACATCCACATACCATCTTAACTGGTCAAATGACATTAAGTAGTCTCCAAAAATCTCACCTTTTGCTATCTCTACCACCAACCAAGCTTAACGATAACTAACTCTCAACCCATACCCCAACTTAAAATCCCGAACAACATGAACTGGACGTGTCAATGGATTATCACGAACACCTTCAACAATCAAATCAACAACTAAATCAGAACTCATATGAGAATGAGTCATCGTGCGTACTTCAGCACCACATGTGTGGACATTGTTCAACTTCCTTATATAAAAGAACCATCAGCATTCTCCACTCTACCATGAACATTCCACATACAACCTTTTGTCTCTTTAAACAAACATTGTGCAGTAACACGAACTTTATCATTCTTAATAAATATGAACTCAAATCCACACTCAATAGAAAACTTTGACAATGCATTACGAAATTCAACAATTTCATCTTCAAATTTCTGTCCTACATGTGTAATACTAACTGCCCAACCAGCAGACAACAATACTTTTTCCTTGTGTCGACAAAATGATGATAACATATCAACCTCTTCTTCAACCTCCAACCTCGAATTCCTTTTGGAAGATGTAGATGCTCTGTTTGACAAGTTCACAGACTTACTGCTGTCATGAGACAATGCAATATCACAAACTTCAAGATCCAACATTGACTGTCTTTCTCCATAATCCAATCTGTTGTTGAGATAACCACAGTCAATGGTTGAGTCTTTTACTCGCACAACAACATCAATACACTTTGAATCCAAATGCACAACTAATGCCAATAACAAATCTAACTCCTCATTGTTGTCCAACGTACAATTAGGATGTCCAGGCAATGAGTAAGATAGACAAATATTATCAGATTGCAAATTATCCCATTTCAAACATAGCTTCTCAACCAACTGATCATATGTAACATTTTGATCAATCTTAATTGCAAATGTGCAACCATTATACTTGCACAACAAAAAAATAGGCGCACTTGTACAACCTTCACTCATCTTTCAATCTAAACAAGAAATAAATATCGCATCAATCAAAACCAGAACAATGCTAAGAACTTTCTCAGTTTTCACAAATACTTCATAACAATAAACACCAGAACAAAAAACTTCATAACAATACAAATACTTCACAAATCACGTTTTCAATTCATAAAATAAATAACCAAACCGAGAAATCATCCAGCAAATCACGTCTTCAATTTGTAGAAACAAAATTATTCAACATATTCTCATAAATAAATTCAATCAAAACTAAAGAAAATTCTAAAAAAACATAATATACAAAATCGAAACAATACATACTTATAAACAGATCGAAGATTAAATATCCAGCAAATCAATTCTTCAATTTACAAATCGAAATCGCACATAATAAACTCCAACAGATTTCAACTCAAAATGCGAACTAAACTAAGAAATCCTTCAAAATCCTTTCCTATTCGAATCAAAATCGAGAAATCAATTACGTATAATAGCGAACCAAAGCAATAAATCCTTCAAGATCGTTCACGATTCGAATCTTCAGCTACTTCCATAACTGATCTGTTAACTGATTCCTTTTTTCTTTCTAGTAAATAACGTGAATGGAATTTTATATACAGTTGTTTATCTTAAAGGGCAAAAACGTCTTTTTACCTCTAAATGAGACTTATTGGTTCAAAAACTTTTTGATAGGACCTAAGCTACCACCAAATATATAGATAGGACTTTTAAGTATTTATCTCCTATAAAAATATGTAACCTTATTTGAGAATTGTTGTTTATTAGTTACTGTTTGAGTGATTAGGTTGAATGGATATAATCAAAATAATTGTTAATTTCTTTGTTGTGTTAACCACCCAAAAAATATTTAAAACAATGCTTAATTAGTACATATTAATGTATTTTTAAAAATGGAAAAATTAAATACACATTTAACCATTGAATCACCAAAAAAAAAATTAGAATCAAATAAATATAGCCCATGGATATTCACCTTACCCATGTTTGATATGATTTTCAAAAGTTTATTTCAATTTTTTTAACTAAAAATTAATTTGATGAAATAAATAAAAAATAAAAAATATTTATTACTTTTATATAATTTTATCTTTTTGGAGGTCAATTTTTTTTTAATATTTGTTTTTTATCAAATTAATTTCAATTTTTTCAATAAAATTTTTGATTTTTTTTTTAAACAAGCCAAACTACCTTTTATTTTTTACAAAATATCTCAATTAAAAATCAAGTATCTAGACGTGCAACGAACAATGGTAATTTTGGTAGAAAGGCATGGTGGCTTTTGGTTGATTGCGCCAACATGTATACTTAACATAGATGGCTAAATCTCAAAAAAGATATTATTTTAAAAATAATTTTTTGGAGAGAGTTTAGAAAATTTGAACATTTGTTAGGTTATATATTTTGAAAATAGTTTTGAAGTTTTGAAATTTGAGATGATTTGATATTTTTTGTTGTAAAATAGATGGGTGTGAGAGAAAAATGATTGAGAAGGAGAGAGGAGATGAGAAAAAGTGATTGATTAATGTGTAGCAGAATAAATATAAAAAAAAAGTGATTTTAAAATTTCTTCTCCAAAATTTTCAACCAAACATGCCCATCATTTCTCATATGAATATAAATTATAATTACAAACACAAGCATACTCAATTGCTATAAATCTATAACCTATGTATAAATCACAACAAAAATGCTATAAAACAAACAAATCAACGACATGCAGTCGTAGACACAAGGCAGTCAATTATTGTTTGATTGTTAACTAACCTTGTCTTCACCTATGGCTCATCTTCAACTTCATAGTCATTAGGAATGGAGCTAATCACAATATATAATTTTTTTGCTCACCGAAACAAGACCATCTCGATAGTAAACACGGTTTGAAAGAGGAAATCAAAAATAAACATTGTTGTCCAAACTTTGACTGACAATGATATGGTATAATAGGTGTCAACTTTTAATTTATTACACATTCAATAATAAAAAGTCTAACCCTTGTTATATTATTATACTAAATTGTACATCTCTAACATTTTTAAAAAATTATTATTTATTATTAGAACAAAAATGCTATAAATCTAAACTTACGAATCTATAATTTGTCCATCAAAAAAATTATTTTTTTTTAATGAGTGAATTCTTAGTTTATAAACATCTTGTTATATGAAATATTTTGTAAAAAAAATTGAGAATGACCACTGCTATGCCAAGCCACGTGACTTGATATGTAACAAAGATCCTCCATGTTCTATTGCCTTTTTCTCTCATGCTGTTTCCATTGCTGCAAAAAGTTCAAGCTAAGTTAAACAAGCTGATTTTATTTGAGTCTTTGTAATCATTTTTGTTTAAGTCTAATCCTTAGGATTCAACTGGAAGTATCTGCTTTCCATGTCTATTTCTTTTCTTCATAATTTTTGGGTGCATTTTTGTCTTCTGAGTTGATATGCTGATTCTTTTCCCTGACCTCAACTTGCCACTATTCTGATGCTCTACATGATGACTATTTGCAAGCCAATTTGCATATGCAAATAGAGTACATAATCATTCAAAGTAAATGAGATTTACAATAAATAAATAAATAAAAAGGTTATATATAGTGTATATTCACTCAAGAGGTGAAAAATTAATTAACTCGGCGATAAATATCATTTTTCCAAGATTTTCTTCCTAAAGTCATTGGGGGTTTAATTTTCTATCCTTATAATTTGACACAATGTTTACTTTGGTCCGTTGTTTTAATTTGAACAATATTAATCTAAGATTTCAAATTTAATTTCAATTTGATCATTTTATCCAAATTTTTGTTAGTCTTTTCTACATCAACTCCCCATGATACTAGCACGTGTTTAAAATGATATTTGAATAGAATGACCAAATTAAAACATTAGGAACCAACCATAAGGCTAAAATTTATAAATAGAAAAAAAAAAAAACTTTACCCATTGATTTATTTTTATAATATGACATAATGAAAAAAAAAATCTTTGTTCCCTTTATATATAGGGGAAATTGGTGAAAAATCTATTTTTTTTTGGATGCGTACGGCATTAGGTTTAATGATTGTTTTGTTTCGGTGATAAAAGACATAATTAATGAAATTGTTTGATGAAAAGGACAAATTGTTCTTTTGAAGAAAATTTTTTTTTCCCTAATTTTACCTTCGATCGATTATCAGAAAAGTTGTCCGTGGCTATGGTAGCAGCTGGTGGTGGTAATGATATGGACAAATAAAAAAATTAGGTGCACTGATTAGGTAACACATGAATAAATAAAAGGATGACATATTGATAGATATGTGGCACATGGACAGATAGACAAATAGGTAAAGCAAACATATAAACAAATAGGTTGGGATAATATAATCTTTCAAATTGTTATTATCATTTTGACTTCAAAAGGATAAAATTAGAGGCTATTGTCCTGAAAATTTTAAAATTTATTTATATATATATTTGCCTTTTGTTTTGGTTGATAGAAAATAATTATCAAGAATATCAGTATGCTAATTTTCTTTATTGGGCTGGACCCCTTCTTAACATTCACAGACACTTGCCAATGTTGGGCTGTTGCACCAAACAAACCCCAATATTTGGGATCATCATCAGTGTGTTAATTTTCTTCACTCGCTACTACATTCTCCACCGTTGATTTGTCCGTCGCCGGTGTCAGATGATATCAGGTTTGATTGACGAGCCTCCCATCTATATATATACAAACAAACACGCCTGTGTATCTATATACATATATATTCGATTATAATCTGAAATTTTTAAGGGTCCTCTAGGTGTTTGTTAAAATGTCTAACCCAAAAATTCGATACCTCCCTTTTTTGGAACAAGTATTCTGTTTTGAATTAGTGTTTAGTATGTAATACCCACTCTAGAACGAGTGTTTGCATTGCAATCAAGCTTTGAGCTTTGTCATGTGTTGATAAAATCTGTTCATTTTTGGGGAGATAGTCAGTAATGGGAACAAAGACAATGATCAAATGGCCGAAACAAATCACAGTAACTCTAGTCGAGCAGCTGATTCGAGCAGAAAAAGACTTACAGAAAGCAATTGTCATATTTGATGCTGCAACAGGGGAGTACACTAATGGGTTTCAGCATGATCACAGCACTTTTGGTGTCATGATTTCCAGATTCGTCTCTGCTAACCAATTCAGAGCAGCCGAGGATTTGCTGAATAGGATGAAGAATGAAAAATGTAGCATTACGGAGGATATATTTCTTTCAATCTGTAGAGGGTATGGTCGGGTTCACAGACCGCTAGAGGCGATTAGAATTTTCCAAAAGATGAAGGAATATGAAAGTCAACCGACCCAGAAATCTTACATTACTGTCTTTGCGATTCTTGTTGGCGAAAACCAGTTAAAGATGGCTTTAAGGTTTTATCGGTATATGAGAGAAATGGGTATTCCTCCAAGTGTTGCTTCACTCAATGTTTTGATTAAAGCCCTTTGCAAGAACAATGGTACGATGGATGCTGCTCTTCGGATTTTTCGCGAGATGCCTAATCGTGGGTGTATTCCAGATTCATACACATATGGTACTTTGATTAATGGGTTGTGTAGGTTTGGGAAGATTGTTGAGGCAAAGGAGCTTTTCACGGAGATGGATACTAAAGGTTGTTCACCTACTGTTGTTACATACACTTCACTGATTCATGGGTTATGCCAATCAAATAATTTGGATGAGGCTATGGGAATGCTTGATGAGATGAAGAGAAAAGGTATTGAGCCCAATGTGTTTACTTACAGCTCTCTCATGGACGGACTTGGCAAGGGTGGACGTACTTCACAAGCCATGGAACTATTGGAAATAATGGTTAGCAAACGACATAAGCCCAACATGATAACATACAGTACTTTAATTCACGGACTCTGTAAAGAGGGAAAGCTTCGAGAAGCTTTGGAGATTCTTGATAGGATGAAACTCCAGGGATTGAAACCAGACGCGGGATTGTACTGGAAAATCATAAATGGGTTTTGTGATATTCACAAGTTCAAGGAAGCTGCAAACTTCCTTGATGAGATGGTTCTTGAGGGGATTTCACCAAATCGAGTAACATGGAGCCTTCATGTTAAAATTCACAACGCTGTAGTCCAAGGCCTTTTAATTGAAAATGACCCAAATCGAGCTTTTCACTTGTATCTAAGTATGCGCGCTAGGGGACTTTCTGTTGAGGCCAAAACTTTTGAATCTCTTGTTGATTGTTTCTGTAAGAAAGGAGATATACATAAAGCTGCTCGGATTGTTGACGAAATGGTTCTTGATGGATGTATCCCCAACGAGGGAACATGGATTGCCATGGTAAGTGGATTTTGGGATCGAAGGAAGGTGAGGGAAGCTGCTAAGTTGGTACATATTGAACTGATGGACGCATTTTTTGGGGCTGGAATATAAACCTTCGACCGAGTTTTAGCATCAGTAATTACCATGGGTATGTTTTTTTTAACCTAATTACTTATGTTTGTGATATTTGAATATAAGGTTTTCTTGTATCTTGTTACTCAACATTGGTAGCATGCATTCCTCTGTTGTTTTTCATTTTCATTTTCTCTTTTTGTTTTTGGCATTGTTTACAGCATGTATGCATTGATCTGCATCATTCGTGATTATTTTGTTGTCTTGCATGATAAATCTGTATATTTCATATTTGCATGGCTAAATATAGCTTTGTTAGATGATTGAGCTGCAAGGTGTGTGTCATTACACCTTGTATCTGAAGAATAATCGTTATTTTTCCTCTTGAATCTCTGTTCAAAATGTAAGGGCATGGATTGTTTTCAATGAGCTGTAGATATTGAGATGACGATCTTAGGGTCTTATTAACTTGTGCCATTTAAGGCACATGTTAAGATTACTTAAAAAACTTGTATATGCTTTATTACATGCACTTTCATACAAAATGTACATTTTTTTTAAAAATTTCTTAATATGTGCCGTAAGGACACATGTTAACAAAATCCCTTTTTGAGTGTAACATTAACGTGTTATGTTTTTTGATAACTGAAATACTGGAAACTCAAGGTTTAACTTCCCTTTAAGGCACATGTTAAGATTACTTTAAAAAATTGTATTTGCTTTATTACACGCACTTTCATACAAAATGTACATTTTTTTTTAAATTTCTTAATATGTGCTGTAAGGACATATGTTAACAAAAATCCCTTTTTGAGTGTAACATTAACGTGTTATGTTTTTTGATAAATGAAATACTGGAAACTCAAGTAAACTTCCCTTTAAAGATGAAAAACACAGTGTGAGAGGTTTAACATAAAGTGTTAATATGATTGTTCTAAATAAATCTGGACAACCTAATTGATGTTTGGGGAAATTACCATTAAGTGATAATTTCATAAAGTTGTTCATGGAAAAGTTTATGATTTCACTTATTAATATTTATGAAGTTCACTATTTATTTGTAATTATTTTTTAAGACTTGCACTAATATGAAATTTCCCCTTGATGTTTTAGTAGATGATGATGGGCAGTAACATAAAGATTCCATATGGAAAAACTTACTTGCAACTTATTTAATTTTAATTTTAAAATTTCATGCTTAAACTGTCGTATTTTGAAAAGTGTTGGACCAAAAGTTTTAACTTTAAACTTACTTGCAACTTATTTAATTTTAATTTTAAAATTTCATGCTTAAACTGTCGTATTTTGAAAAGTGTTGGACCAAAAGTTTTAGATAGCGTTTGGTAGAGTTTTGTAAATGTGATTTAAGAGTATGAGTTGTATTTTGAGTTTGTGTTGTGGAATTATGATTTGAGTGTAGAAAATTTGCTTGGTAAAGAGTTTTGAAAATAGTTTTGAAAAGAGTTTTGATTTGAGTGGGGAATTGTTGATGCGACATTTGATATGTGATACAAAAATTTACAACTCATAACTAAACATATAACTCAAAATTATTTTAAAGTACATAAAAAATTTTAAAAATTTCAGAAAATATTTTTTTCGATTATATAAATCAATTGCAAAAAAAAAAAAAATTCACTATTTCGGTCAACCGGTCAGACGTCCCGTCAGGCAAAATTTTCAAAAAAAAAAAAGAAAAACGCATTTGTCAAAGCAGAAAACCGCATGTGTTCTATGCAGAGTTTTGGAATCATCGTTTGAGAACACTAACCAAACACCATACTTGAATTAAGGTGTGGAATCATGATTTGAATTCACAACCAAACAGTGCCTTAACTTAAGGCACTTTTCAAGTTCTTCGTTTTTTAAGTTTAAAAAAATCAAAATAAATTAAAAAAACTATTATTGTATATGTTTGGTAACATTTATAGTTTATTATTTTTTGTTTACAAAAACATTAAACGAACATATTCCACACGCACATGTATTTTAAAAAACTTGTTTTGAAAACAAGTGGGAGGTGGTAGCTGGAGATTGTTGTTAGTCACCAAAGGTGGTTTCATGCAAGATGTAGTCATTGACTATTCAGTGATGTTGGTTGTAGTATGTAGTGACCAGAGGTGGTTGCCAGAGGTCATCGATGATGGTGGTTGGAAATGGGGATGCTGGTGGTGTTGATGAGTGGTGGGTTGAGGGGGTAGGAGAAGAAGGAAGAGAAATGTTTGTTTGTTTGTTTTTTTTAAGCTAATGAAACTAATTTTTTATTTTATTTTTGTGATTACCAGAATTAATAAATTTTATAAATTCGAGTTGGCTTGCACCACAGAATAAAAATTTGTCTCTAATTATTTCCATATTTAGAAGAGATTTCCGGTGGGATGTGGTAATTACCTGGAATGCTTCCGGTGAGGGAGGATTGGCCCACGTCGGCGGATCCTCTTTCTTGGCGAACGGTCCTTCGAGATTGAGGAGACGGTGGAGACATATGGGGGTCATCGATGTTTGTCCATAGTGGAGCGAGGGCAAGGCTTGCGTAGGGCAATCAAGTTGGTGGGGTTTGAAGTGCGATGGATAGGTAAGAAGATGCGATGGGCATCGTGGAACCAAGGCTGCCAGTCGTTTGCGGGTCAGCTGGAGGGGAAATGACGCAATGCGGCGGTTTGGATTCGTATTGAGGGAGATGGTAGTTCTTCGTTTGAAATTGTGGTTACCTCGGAGGGTAAACGAACTTAGATTTTTCTTCTCATTTCAGATTTTGGGGACGGCTGGGAGAGTGTGGCACTGGTTTTGAAAGGATTTGCTAAAGGAGATGGTTGGGTGACCTGGATTGATGTAGGTAAGAAGGTGCCGAAAGGGTGGCGAGTGGCCACAGCGGCTGAGGGGGCAGTTGATTTGCTGGGGGTCAGTGATGCGGTGGTGCAGGGTGTGTCAAAGGACGGGTGGTTTGATTTGTTGGAGAGGGCACTGGTGGGTCACGTGGGAGAGCTGGGGAGCAGAGGAGTTGGGTTCTCAACTATGGTGGATTGGGTAGGCCGTTGGTAGAAGGGGGTTGGGCGAGTGGAGATTCGTCTGATAGGGAGTCAGACTTTCCTGTTCGTTTTTCCAGCTCGGTGTGAGGCTGAAGGTGTGTTACAACGCAGATGGATGATTGATGGACGCAATTTAACTCTGCGATGGTGGTCACCGACTGTGCTCTGCAATATAGGAAGGCCGTCGGGAGCGGGGATGTACAAATGGGTTAAGGTGATTGGTGAGGTCTATCGTCAGTACCAGCCCACTGTGAGTAGTACTTTTGTAAAGATATGTTGTTAAAATGTTTTGGCTACTGCAAGTTCATTGTTTTGAAATGCTATTCCGTTACAATGAATGATTATTTCCTTCGAAGTGTAATTGTGGCATCCTTAGTGTAGCCCTCACCTGGGGCTACCAATACCATGGCCTACAGCCCTCACCCAGGGATAACAATACTGTGGCCCATCATTACAGAGATCTCTTATGTAGACCCAAGGGGTCCCTATGTATGTTTGACCTATATGGTCCCATCGTGCACTATTGGATGTACCACATATGAATATGATTTGTGAACTTCGATATAACAAGTAATTGCATATGATATGATTTGAACTCATGTGATATGATTTTGTACAATGATAGACATCATTCACTTAACCTCTTTATGCTAGTATTACTCACTTGGCTTTAGCTTACCCCTTTTGTCATGACTCGAACCCGTCCCTATGGGTTAAGGCCATAATCGGCCAGTAATCGCGAGATTACCTCCAGCCTCAAATCAATTAAAACAAAACTCATCAGAGTAAAGGGGCCAAACGGAAGCAAATTAAAGCTTTGCCCGTAGAGCTGTGCTTATATGCACACCATAACATTCCAAACATTTATACGTTAATAACTCACATCAAAATGTGCATTAACACAAAACATTGTACATACAGGATCATACAAGATTAAGTCAGTCGAACCCAAGACTTATATACAAAAGTAGTCTAATGCTTTCGCCAACATAACAAAAACTATGAACAAGGACAAAAGCGGAGACAGTCTCGTGTGTGAGACATTTGGGTTGACTCTTCAAAACTTCGACTGTTTCTCACAATTTCACCGAGGCTGGTTTTGGACGTCTCTTGGCTCACCTATATGTACATGAATGAGCGTGAGCGAATGCCCAGTGAATAATATCAAATAAGGAAGATACATAAGCAATCATTGAAACAGTTACAGCAAACGGCCTTTAGCCCCATCATTTATATCTATCGACCTTTGGCCCAATCATTTATATCAATCGGCCTTCGACCCAGTCATTCATGTCAATTGGCCTTCGGCCCAACCATTCATGTCAATCGGCCTTCAGCCCAACCATTCATATCAATTGTTGTCCACCATTCAGATTAATGAACTTACAAAACTTACATATAAGTAAACAATTGGACAACAGTATATTTCAAATATCTTGTTAAGATATTACTCACAGTGATCGGCTTGTGGATTTGTCCTGGAGCTTGACCCTACACATTCCATTAACATAAAAAGGGTCACAAACAATTCGATCCGTTCTTAAATTCACATTTTCCTCTTTAGGCTTTATTCTTATCTCTTTAATTCAATTACAATACTCAATGTATGCCTAAGAGTACTTGGAAGTGAAAGAGAATAGAAAATGGAACTTAGAATGCATAAACAAAATTTCAGAAAACAGGGTCCCTGCTCGAGCGGACCCTTAAGGCCTGCAAAAGTACTAGTTATGCCAAATTTATGCTCGAGCGTGCATTCTGGCGCTCGAGCGGAAGGCCTCTCTACATGGCTCCCCGCTCGAGCGTGAACTTTCCCGCTCGAGCGGACATCCATGTCTGCAAAAGTACTGGGAGCACAAATTTCACGCTCGAGCGGTGGTTTCCCCGCTTGAGGGGACATCAAATTTCTGGAAAATCCAGAATGTGTTCTTGAGCTCCAACTTCGAATTCAAAGGCTCCAAATGCATTATTTCGACTCCAACTTCATATATATTTGTACTAACATGATACAAACACTAAATTACAACATTTTGGAGCTCAATTTCATAAA